ACCGAATGCCGCTACATAGGAGCTGTCGATCGACGTATCTCTCGCTACGATCGGGTCAAACCAGCCGTAACGGCACACAGAAGAAGAGCCAACGTACGTGCCAAGTGCGGACCAAAACCAGCAGAAAGAGGCATGAATCATCCTGCCGCGCGGTTAAGAATTGAATGTATATAATTGAACGCGTACACCGGTTGTTTTCGAATTGGATCAATAAACGTTTTCCCAGCCAGCTCGCTACAATATGACATTCTCAAACGAAGAAAATTTCGAATCTAAGTTTATACTAATTTCGCCGGAATTCAAGAGGGTAGTGGATAAACCTGGTCATTTATTCGGACGAACAGTGTATTAGAAAACCGGCTGAAAACTCACGCCAGGGATATCCACTCGACAGGGCAATTAAGAATCGACAGCCCAACGCCCAAGACCATAATTGTTTTCTCCATAATCGTAGGTGGCCGACTTAATTCGCGAACACGGCTTATGAAGAAAAAGAGGGCCAGTAAAGTGATTGGGAACACAAACGTTTTGAGAGCGAACCAGACCTGGGGTAGAGAAGTGAAAGACCGAAATAAAACAGTATGATTTCTGCAAAGAATGCATCACTTATTCTGATGGCTTTTAGACGTAAAATACATGTAGATCTGCATTCGCAACAGACAAGAAATAGTCAGAATGTAAGATTCAGCTAACACAAATTAGCACCTGCGCAACCTTAGCAAAATCGATTCAATCAGTCATTGCTCTATCTTCGGTGTGGTGTTTTGAAGTTGGAAGTTTCAAAAGAACGCAAAATATAGCAAAAAATCAACGATAGTTGAGCACCGGTGATGTCGACTTAGTTTACAAGCTTGGCAGTAGCACCGAGTTCAGATGTTGGATACTATGTATTTGAGTACTGAAAACAAAATCCATAAGCCTTACCAGTCTTGTTCTTTGGAATCAAACACGTTCGTCAAAAATTTTGGAAATTAGCAAGATGTAGGCAACATGTGTCAGCCGGAATACATAAAGAGGAAGCAAAAAGCAATTAGACGACTCTTAAATGACTTACCTGGGCACATAGGAATTTTTGCAAACGATCGTACATTTCCATTTATCTTCTCCCTTTAGTTTCTAACCAATATTATTTTGTACATTTTTGTTTCTTTGAACTTTGGAATTTTATAAAAAAAATGAAATATCATACAATAAAAACGTTATAGAAATCTTGTACAAATCTTGTAAACAATGCAAAGCTATTTCATCATTGCTAGAAATAGTCACCAGTGCCCATCAATTTAGTTGATAACGGCTCAAATCTTGATTATATTCGCTGAACGATATGAACTGGATTTATGGCCTTAAGGTACCGAATTAAAGTTAAACAGTAATCAATTTTTCTTTAAGGTATCGATCACATGGGTTAGTGAAAGCACTCGGAAACAGATCACTATAAGAAGTAGAGGGATGAACGAGTCTATCTAAAATAAGTAACGCTATCTCAAAACTAAATGCATGTAATATCACCTTAGTGAAACCGCCATTTTGATGAATTTCCACCATCCACACGTCCTGGATAATGCCGATTTTGTCATTTGCCGGGATCCTTAGATTCAGTAGGTACTCCTCATGGTGACAGCTGGCTAGAGTAAAAAGAGGTAACACTTCGCATTCGTAGTAGAATCCATCGTCGATTGTATGTGCATGGCCTTCATGCCGTTTGGCTTTCGGATCTAAAGTACACTTCAAAGGGCGGACCTCGTGTGAATGTGCCAGTTCGTGCCATACACCCTCTGGGTCAACTCGATTGCGGTATCCAAGGCGTAAATCAAACTTGATTTCAGCATCTTCCGCAACCTGCGGGTCAGAAGAACGATACAAAAGCGCACAGACAAAACTATGATACAGTCAATCAGAAGACACTAAATTTTGACACATTCCCAAAACCAGATAAATTAAGTGACTACAATAGGGTTACTGGGAAGTCTGCTGGTTGAGAGTGGAACGATGCAAAATTGAAACAGGTCCGACAAACAAACTGTTACGATCGGTTATAAACAGCCTGCACAGAATCGATGTGCAACAGTGAAACCAAAGGGCACACTGATAAGAATAGTCGAAAGTGACATTGAATCGAGTCATCGCGGGACGAAGGAAATAGACAATCTGTGCAATACGGAACCAGTATAACCGTCTCGAGTGTTTATTGTGCTTCAACTGGTTTTTCACTTAAATTTATTCAATAGCTGATTTCAATAAGCAAAGAACAAAATGGAAGGAGAAGCATCTCGGTTCGTTTTCGTATATACACGTATTGTACAAGCTTTAGAGCCGACATTTCAGTCAGAATGCTTTTTATTGACTAAAGACCAAGTTCAAAAAAGAAGAATAACTAGTTAGGCATTAGAGTTTAATAATGATTCAAGTTCACAGCCTGGAACTAGCACAAGAGGTAC